GTAGCATGCGGTCCCTCTGCAGCTATGGCTGCCTCCCGTCGCTCCTCTCTGGTAAAGAATGGCCGCGAGGTAGCCGAAGACGAAGGAACCCGCGGGAATGTTGGTGACGACGATGTTGTGGTTGACGCTGAAGTGCTTGGTGCCGAACATCTCGGTGGTGGCGGAGACGGCGATGGACGTGATCGCCCCTGTGAATGCTCCGATCACTGCGGTGCTCATGTACAGGCACAGTCTGCTTGGGTTGACCAGCATGAAGAAGGCTGCTGCCATCGGGGCCATCATTGCCGCCATGGATGCTGGCCTTGATATCATGCAGTTCCTCCTGTACACATCGAAACGAAGAAGAAGAAGAAGAAGAAGAAGAGTTAGTGCTAAGTTTGCCGAGATTCGATGGTGGTTCTGATGAAAGGCTTACTTGGAGGAGTAGTAGTCAAAGAGGAATGGCAGGAGGCGACCGAAGAAGCCGAAGGAAGACGACAAGGAGACCAAGGTGGAAGTCTCTTCTGGTCGAAGTCCACGAGACTCTGCAATCTGACCGAGGTTGTTGAGGAAGACGAGTCCCAGCGTCGCGCTGAACAAGTAGCTGAAGAAGTACAACCAGAAGTCCACCTTCCTTAGGATTAGAAGACCTCCCACTTCCTCTGACTCCTCTTCTCCACCTTCCACCATCTCTTCCTTCACGACCTGAAGCTCCTCGACCACTACCTCTCTGCCTCCCTCGCCAGCTTCGACGTCATCGGCTGCAAGAACGTGAACTTTGTTCTCCTTCTTGTTCCACCACACCTCGTCTATGACTTCCCTCAGTTTCATGGTTGCTGGCACCACCAATGGCGACGCCAGTAGCACCCCCAGGCTCAACGCGTACTCTCTCGTGAGGACACCGTGGGAGGTCGAGCTGATGCTGCCGACCACAGCGGAAATCCCGGTCGTGAACGTGATGACGAACATGACCACGAAGCCGAGGCTTGATCGGATGGCATTCTGGCTCAGAACCACCCGGACGAATGGCGCGACGACGGCGGCGACCAGAACCGGGACGATCGCGTTGAGGAGGAGGTACTGCTTAGCGGTGTGTCGAGACTTGCCGTTGAACACCGCGCTGGCGAGAACGGTGTAGACCTTGGCGCTCAAGCCGACGTAGCTGGTGGAGAGGCCGACGGCGATGCGGCTGTGGGAGGAGAAGTTTCTGATGCAGATGAGGTAGCAGGCGGTGTTGATCCAGCAAATGCCATTCCCGGCCAGGGCGGTGAGCAGGAAGATGTGGGAGTAGGAGAAGTGCGGGTGCTCGAGGAAGAGGAACTGCAGGCCGTAGCCGACCAGCCCCAGAGCTGCGCCGACAACGGCGACCAGCCACAGGGGGAGATAGATCGCGGCGACGCCGGCGACCCAGCCGAAGAGCTTCCCGGCGTCGGAGGCAAAAGCTAGAAAGTTGATGCCCACTTGGGAGACCCTCTTGAGCTCCTTCAGCTCGGAGGAGTAGACCGGGAAGTCGGTGTTTGCACCGTTGAACGTTTGGAGCCATATGGTCGCAATCAAGGTCAGCCACTGCAGCGAAGAAGAAGAAGAAGAAGAAGAAGAAGAAGAAGAAGAAGACATGGTTGTGGAGTGATCTGTTTCAGGGAGGAGGTGACGGGTATTTATGGGAGAAAGAAGGTGATGGTGGCAATGAATGGAGGAGATCGAGAGTGGCTTCAATGCATGAGATGTGGTTTCATGTTAGCCAGAATGAAGGTTTAGCTACTGCAGTAAAACGATGCTGTGGACGACACACAACACGAATCTAGATGTGACAGAAGGATTCAAGATTTCTCTAGTTTTGTACGTCACTGCAACGAGGACATCACATCTGTGCTGTGAATTGGGGAGAAGGAGAGGGCTGGTCATGATCAAGAATTGGCCAACAAGACGCCATTTCCAGCTCTCGCTTACATGTCAATTGCAGTTGGGTCCGAGACCCAAAAAGTATGGTATAGTGAGATAAAGATCCACTCTTATCCATCCAAAGCTTTGTTTGGATGTGTGATGATTCACTAATGATCCAATATATATATATATATATATATATATATATATATATATATATATATATATATATATATATATATATATATATATATATA